GTACCATAAGTTAGGTGGAAACCACTGCTTCCATCCTAGAGACAAGAAAAACCAGACTCAGGTAGGGCATGTGGTCTGTCTAGACCAGTGGTTCTTAACCTTCCCAATACTGTGACCCTTTAATACAGATCCTCATGGTGCAGTGACCCCCAACCATAAAATTATTTTTGTTGCTCTTCATAACTGTAATTTTGCTACTGTTAGGAGTCATAATCTAAATATTTTTGCAGATAGGGGTTTGCCACAGGGGTTGCTACCCACAGGTTGAGAACCACTATGTATAGTCTCTGCAAAGAACCAAATAGCTGAACCAAGGGCTTTTCAATACAGAACCAAGTAGGTTAGCTGGGCCCTGTGTGCACAGAGAGCTTTTCTGTCTACCTCATCAGTAATACTGGTGAGGATGGGACACACATTCCCAGACGAGCAAATGACAAAGACACTAAATTCTGTTTTAAATTAAAAACATTTCTATTTTTTCTCACATCCCATGAGCCAAGTGCAAAGTTACCGACACCTGTCAGCAGGCAGAGGCCAGCATCACCTTTCAGCTGAGCTGGGTAGAATCTGATCTGTTCTGCTCTACATCTGCTTCAAGGGCACAATGCTCAGGGTTTAGTATTCAGTACAGACGTCATGAATGAATGCATGAATGGGTGCATGGGTGTGTATCCCCTCCAGGACCTCCCCACACCTTGTGTTTCTTAGGGCTCATCTCCTCAAAGCAAGGGAGAAAAGCGCCATCAGAAATAATGTGCCTGGATGCTGTGTTACAGATGAGGTCCAGAGGGTGAGAGTGACTAGCTGGAGGTGGCACAGCCATTAGAGAAGGCACAGGGGTGAATGGAGAGCAGCTTGTTCTGGAGTTCACTCCAGCCCTCAGGCAGCCAGGCTTCTGCACTAGGAGAATGACTTCGGCTGGTGAGATGTGTGTTGTCTTTTGCTGCCATGCCAGTGCAGTCTTCAGTGGCAAGCTCTGGGCAGCTTCCTGGGCTGTGAGCCATTGGTGGATTGTGGAGTGATTTTCTCTGGAGTTCAGAGCTGCCTGCCATCACTGAGAGAGGAGAGTAGCTTGCTTGGGAAGAGAACAACCAGTCCCTATGTTGAAGTAGCACAGATGTTGCCCCACTTGAGGTGTGGAGATGGCAGAATGAAGGTAGGGACACAAGGCTGATGAGTGAGAGAGCCACGCAAGGGCTGCAGGTCCCATAGGTGCCATGGGACAAAGGTCATCTGGGCAGGGAACCAGATTGAAGTGATCTGAGTCTGAGATGGTGGGTAGCACCCTCTGGGAGGTACCAGCCTGGGCAGAGCAGTGGGTGTCAGCACAGGACCCTGTCAGGAGAAATCAGAGGGAACCGATGAGTCCTAACCTTTACCAAGGACTGTTCCAGGTGCCTCCCAGGTGCCTCTATGACTCAGTAGTTGGTGGTGGGTAGGGTGAACAGCTTGTCTTGCCTTGCCTGGGACTTTTAGCATCCCATGTGGCTCATGCAAACCTACCAGGACCTAATCCTCACAGCATGAATAGCAACCATGTGTCTGGAATGTCACCTCACTCCTCAGAGATCCACTTCTTCAGTAGCAGCCCATGAATAGAATGTTCCAGGTCTTTGTCATTTCATCCTTGTCAAAACTTTAGTACTGACCTCTAAGGAGCAAGGTGACTTTTCTATGCCACACTGTGATGTGGGATTTGAGCTGAGATTTGAAACTGGGCAATCTACTTTAGAGCCGACTGCCCAGCCCCCATGTTCTATGCTTTGCTCTATGACTCAGTTTTGTGTACTGTGAAGTTTTAGACTGTGGCAAAACCACTCCTTCCTTGCCAGCTAGCCAACCACTTGCCCTCTTCAGGTATCTCCTTGGTCTTCCTATTTCAGAAAGAATTTCCATTATGCTTGGTACTGTAGGCACTTCCCCTAGGGCTTTCTCAAACCAGGGCCTGGGTGAGAAGCTCCCAGGAACAGATGACTGCCCCTCCAGCCCCACTTGAGGACTGGGCCACTCACAGCCATGTCCATGTTTGAGGGCAGGGTCAAGCTGGCCTCACCAGGCTGCTGCGATGCACCAAGGCTTCCGATTTTCTCCTGCTTCCTCCACTTGGCTCTCTGATTTTGGAACCAGATCTGTGGTCAGGGAAATAAAATGGATGTGTGCAAAGGAAAAACAGTCCAACTAGTGCCTCTCCCATCTGGTATCACTTCCCCAAATGCAGAACACTGATATCCCCCAAAGAATGAGCACTTCACAGTTTATAAAATCACACTGTGAGAGGGAGGTTCTTTGTATGTGGAGTATAGAGACTTCAGGGAAGAGACCAGGGTCACAGTCTTCAGAGTAGAAACGGAGAGGGAGACATGTCTGAGTGATAACTGAGAAGGGTTGGGTGGGGTCTGTGGTGAACACAGCTTAAAGAGGATCTTAGGTCTTGCTAACAAATGTCACCTGGAAACAGGAGCCAGTGTGTCAGACTCATCCAGTTTCCAATGTGAAAATCTTGATTGTTTTTTTTTTTTCTTTAATGTGAACGCTTTTGAGTTTTCAATGCTTTGCAGGCCAAACATGACCCATCTGTGGGCTGTTTTCCATCAGCGGGCCACCAGTTTGCAACCCCTGTGGGTCACTTGGCATCTACAGGTTGAATAATGGCAGATCTCTGCATTCCAGGGTACCCTGATGGTTTCTGACGTGCTGCCATTTGTACTTGGTGATGCAGGGGAGGCAGGTGTTGGATTCTAGACTTAATGACAGACACAGGTGCTAAACATTCAGCTGGAGCCCAGTTCCAAACAGGAGGAAAAGGGGAGCTGACTAAGGCTGTGTTGGGTTCTAGCCAGCGGGAAAGGAGGTTCAATCAAAAGTGGTCCATCAGGCTGGACCTCTACTTTGATTTTGAATGAAGAAAAAATGAACTGTGTTTTCTTTTTTTAAAAGAATGATGTAGAAGCTCTGTGTTCAGAAAGTGTGCTAATAGTATTACAGCGGGATATAGCAGACCCTCTCATGCCAGCCTGGGACTTATGAAACAGAATGTATCTAAAAGAGGGCACCAGGTCTACCCTGGTGGTGACAAGGGGCTGTGGTATTTCCTAGCATGGACAAAGAAATGGATACTCTGGGGTAAAGAGATGACAGATGTAAGATTAGGCTGTTTGTGCAGAAACCCTGACTCTGACACTGGATCCTTTGTCTGTCTAATTCTTTGTTTCCACCAAGGAAACATGGAGATGTTTTTACTATGCTGGCCAACAGTTCCCTGGTAAGCTATAGATGCCATTCCAAATGTTTGAGTGGTCCACAGGCTGAGAGTGGTTCACACAGCTTCAAATAATTGAGAAAAGATACAAAAGGAAGGAGAATATTTACAACAACTGCAACTTGTACAAAAAACAAATTTCAACACTTAGAAATAAAGTTTTGTTGTAATGTCACCATGCTCACCTGTTTCTGCCTTGGCTGTGGTGGCTATCAGGCCACCATGGCAGGGATATGGCCTCTCCGACAGCAAAACCCAAAGTGATTACTCTTAGTAAAAATGTTGGTTGATCCAACCCTCAACTGCTACGGCTGATGGTGTGAGTAACCTTTAGAAGCATGAATAAGCTGAGAGAGAGGGCATGGGGACAGAGATGGATGGAGAGCACTGATGTCTGCCCACTACATTGCCACCTCATAGGAGATCCTTTAGTAAATGAGGGTGGTCTCATTGCCTGGAAAGTAATATTTGGCTCTTATGACTGCCCAGGAGGTAAAGCCAATGGCAGTTTCAGCTGGGGCAGCCCTAGAGGGCTGAGGACCCAGCATGAGACTATGTGAAAGTTGGGCACTTTACCTGTACTCGAGCTTCGGGCAGGTTGATCCTGGAAGCCAGCTGGGTCCGGACATGGATGTCAGGGTAGTGGGTAAAGTGGAAGAGCTTCTCCAGTTCCTGGAGCTGCTCCGTGGTGAAGGTAGTGCGAACTCTCCGCTTGCTCCTTTTTTCTTCTGTGGAAAAAGCATGCAAGTCGGGTCAATGACCTGGTTGTCAGTTACTTGGGGAGCTTTTCCTGTTGCTTTGTTCTTCTCCAAACCAATGGCCACTGCTGAGTTTTGGTCCTTGGCTACTTGGAATTGGAGCTTAGCAATATTGTCTTCTAGAACACCCTCTAGGCTAATCCTCTTCTCCCCACTGAAGTCAAATGAACCTTCTAGAAAATTCTCTGATTCTGTGCCTTTCTTCTGCTTAAATGTATTGAAGGCACATTCCTTTGTCTATAATGGGAGATAATAAACCATGACCTGCAGACCAAACCCAGCCCACGTGTTTTTAAATAAAGTTTTATTGAAACTTTGCATTATCTCTTCCCAATTTTGTATTATAGTGGTGGTGTTGAGTCTTTGTATCTGAGAGCATATGGCTATGAAAACTGAAATAATTACCATCTGGCCCTTTACAGAAGAAGTATGCCAAGCTTGGCTTACAAAGTACAGTCTAAGTATGACGGCAGCAGGACCCTGCCAATCTGTCTCTAAGACACCTGTCTAGTCTCAATCTACTCAGGTCTGGCTCTGCCATTTGTGGGGTCCAGCACAAAATGAAAATGTGAGGTTCCTTGTTCAAAAAAGAGCCAAGAGCTTTTTCTTTCATTACCTAGATTGTCACTGTCTGTCATGGGATTTATGTTTAAGTATGTGTACATAGAAGCCATAGGAGGACAAAGGGTGCCCTTTTCTGTCATTCTCTGTCATATGCCCTTGAGACAGGGCCTTCCACTGAACTTGGAGCTGGGTTGGCAGCCAGAAAGCTCCAATGTTTCTCCTGTCTCTGTCCCCAGGGGTTACAGCTGTGCATGTAGATACATTCTGCTTTTCTACATGGGATTTGAACTCAGGTCCTCATGCTTGTGCAGCAAATACTCTTACCTACTGAGTCATCTCTACAGTCCTCATGGTAGCCTGTTAATTTTGAGGGAGACAGATTTAATGAGAACACTCATGGGGTATGCTATTCTTCCCAGGGACATGGGAATTACCCCAAGGCTTTGAGACATGCATGGTCAGTGGAGAGATTTGACCCCATCCTGAAACTTGGCACCTGATTGTGAATATCCTGGAAGTCATACCTCAGCAAGCTCCTTTCCAAGGTGGAAGTAAGTAGGGGCACGGGATGGGGGAGCCATCATTAGGTGTTATCCTGCCACTTGCTTAATGCCTCACTGGACTCCTTCTAAAACACAAATTCTAATCTAAGATTGCTAAGGAGTTCAAGACAGTGACCCTATGTATTCATCTCTACTTGTGGGATTGCCCTCTAGGCACAGCCCTCTGTGGAACCATGGTGGGTACTTATACTGGCATAGCCACCTCTACTGCCATCACTCTGCCAACCTATGTACCCGGCCTCATTCAAATTGCTCAACTACCTGGCTTTGTAGCACATCCCATGGGTGCTTTGCTGCAACAAACTCATGGATGTAGGACAGACTGATCACTTTTGTCATAATTCTGATTTCTACAGTCTCTTTGGGGGCATAAATTCAGTCTTTAAAGAAAGATTTAAATATTTTATTCTTTGACCTTCACTTGACTTTGGGTATACTGGATTCAAGGATAGACATCCACTCATGGGCCTTGACATAGAAAAGGCTCAAACTAAATATTTTGTCTATAAAATATGATAGAAAGAATATTTTGTAGTGACAATTAAAAAGTTAGAAGTTCCTAACAATTTCATAATAGTTAATACCTACTGTCTATGTTCCATGTACAAACTGCACTTCTTTTAGATGATAGAGCAATCCAGTGATAATATCTAAGCAAATGTTTGAAAGGATGAGCAATTAGAAAGGATTTGTACATAGAGAAATGAAGTGGTACTATTAGCATCTATGATTCATTATTCTCATGATGATGGATGTATACCAAAGGAACAAACAGACACAGCTGAGTCTGTGTGGTAGACAGAAAAGTAGCTGTTGGGAGTGGAGAGGTGGCTTAATGGTTAAGATCAATTACTGCTCTATTGGAGGGCCAGAATTCAGATTCCAAACTCACATTAAATAGCTCACAAACTGCCTGTAGCTTCAGCTCCAAGGGATCTGACTAACCTTCTGGCCACATGGACTCTCTCTCCCTCTCTCTCTCTCTCTCTCTCTCTCTCTCTCTCTCACACACACACACACACACACACACACACACACACACACACACTGTGGGATATTTGTATACTGTGTAAAGGTATATTGCTGTGATTGATGTAATAAAAAGCTGAACAGACAAGCTAGGCATGAGGTATAGATGGGACTTCCTGACACACACACACACACACACACACACACACACACACAGAGAGAGAGAGAGAGAGAGAGAGAGAAGAGAGGGGAAGGGGAGGAGGAGGAGGAATCTAGTTGAGTGAGAGAGACATGGAAGAAGCAGGATGGACAGTATGTGACAGAACACAGATTAATAGAAATGAGTTAATTTAAATTATAAGAGCTAGTTAATAACAAGCCTAAGCTAAGGCCAAGCTTTCATAATTAATAAGTCTCCATGTCATTATTTGTGAGCTGGTGTCCCCCCCAAAAATCTGACTACACACACACCCCAATCACACCAAAAGAAAAGTATTCTGTGCATTTGTTCCTCCCAAGGAGATCTTTCAGAATGGGAGCCTTGGCCAGCATTGTTCTTTAGCCCCTCGTGGAGCCAAGGAACAGTGAATGGTGGTGGGGCAACCAAACTGTGCGGCTCATTTTCTGACCAAGTCTTCTGAAGCTAAAGCTTCAGTAGTTTAGATTGGAACAATTACAGAAGTATAGAAAAAGCATAAGCTCTTAGCTCAAATTGTCTTCATTTTCAGATGAGGATGGGGAGTCTGGTACCCTCTGTCCAAGGAAGACTCACACTCATGCTTGGAGGACACAGACACTCTGGGGAGGCAGCTCATATTTGCCTACAGCCTTCTTTCTGGATAGTGTACTCCTGAAAGGCAGGAATGGATCTTAGATTAACGAAGCAAGCAATGCCTAGAGAGAGCTTCATCAATATTTGCTCCAAATAGGGCAGAGAGGACATTTTTGAAACTATGCCCAAAATTTTGTAGAACATCTGTTGTCATGTGTCAGGTAGAGCTGAAGTAGTCTAAAAGGAGAGGAGGAATCTGAATTCCACAGAGGAACTGGAAAATGCTGGCATTAATAACTGAAAAGACCCACTACCATTCTTTTTTGGGGGTGGGGTAGGGATGATGCTTGTTGCAATCCTGCTGTCACTGGATGGTAGAAACCACACGGCAAGACCTGAACTTTTCTGGGCTAACCTTCACAACTGGGCACATTTACTTCATTCTCTGTGCTTAAATCACTGTCTGTAGGGGGAGGTAGGAGAGGCGTTAAATGATAGATGACTAATTATAAACCCCCTGTGACCTTCCTCAATCCTTCTTTCCTGGGATGCTTGCCTGGGAACCTTTTACTGAGGAGGAAAATAGCATGGGCATGTGTGTGTCCAGGGTTAGGAGGGGGTGGAGGGTGTGTACTTTTCTTTTAAAAATCAGCCATGTTGTCTCCTGTGTTGTAAGAATGAGTTGCATGGTCTAACACATCCCTAGTATCCCCCACCTTCATTGTTAACCCATCTTTAAAATCTCCCCAAGATGGATGCTTTTACTCCTCTTTGTTGACTTCTCAAGTTTTTTGAGAATGCAGACAATGAGACCTAAAATGTCATCTCCCAATAGCTTTTATGTCACCTCTTATTGCATTTACTTATTTAGTGTGTGTGTGTGTGTGTGTGTGTGTGTGTGTGTGTGTGTGCGCGTGCACACACACACACACACACACACACACACACACACATTTGCTAGGGTGAAGATGTGGAGGTCAGAGGACAAATTGTGGTAGAGTGGGTCTCTTAAAGCTTAAACTCAGGCTATCAGGCTTAGCAGCAAGTACCTTTACTTGCTAACCTATCTTGTTAGCCATTGTGTGTCATCTCTGGTAGAAATTTCACTTCTGCCATCCTCTTCCTTCCTTTCCAAGCTTACCCTGCTTTCAAGCAACAACAACAACAACAATAAACTTATTGTTATTTTGAGACAAGGTCTCATGTAGCCAAGACTGGCTTCAAACTTAATATGTAGAGCAAGGAGGGCTGTGAACTTCTGATCTTCCTGCCTCCACTTGTCCTGGGAATCAAGGTGTGCACTACCATACCCTGGTTAAGCAGTGCTAGGGACTGAGCTCAGGTCTTCATGCATACTAAGCAAGCACTCTACTCAGTTACCTATGCAGCCCCCAATTTTATTTTTAAAAGATGTATTCTTTGTTTAGAACTGGTAGTGTGTTTAGTAACAACTGTTCCTTTTCCTGGGGAGATATTAAGAGACATTTAATTGCCTCAGACAACAAGCCAGTAGACAAAATTATTCCATCCAAATTCAACTTGGTGAACCAATGAGTTTGTTGAGGTTACTCACAGGAACACAGATGACTCTCGGGCAGCTGAGTCATTTGGAAGTTGTTTATCATGCAACAACATCACAAAGAATGTATCCAGCACCCTGCAACACCATGTGCAACTGTGTGAGCATTATAATCTTAGATGATGGTGATACTCCTCCCAGGAGGAGGGACTATCAGCCTCCTTATCACCATGTACCCAGCCATCACTATATTCTGTTTATTTTGTTGCCATGACTGTGAAAGAAGGTATTCTTTGAGCACCACAGCAGCACAGCTTCATTATGATGCCAGCCATGTCACACCAGAGGAAATAGCTTCATGACCCAAGCATGAGCAACAGCCAATAGGAACTAAGCTGGCATCAAAGGGCAGGTTCACTACTGCCAGGAGGATGGGGAATAGCTCTATGCCCAGCCTCAAACAGGCACTGAGGGTCTGTATGCGGGTAAGGGACCCTGACTAGCCAGGCTCAACAGGATTGTGTATGTTCATTCATTCATTCACTCGTTCATTCAGTCAGAATTTTAGATAATGGAGATGATAGAGAAGAATTCTATAGAAAAATCATTAAAAACTATGGGGAAAAATGGCCAAGATGGCTGAGCAGGCAAAGACAGTTGTCACAAAACCTAACAGTCTGAGTGTGAGCACAGGAAATTGCGAGTTGTCCTCCAATCTTCATACAAACACCACATGCTTTTACACCTCCCAAGTAAATCAATAAATACAATTTTTAAGTTTAAGAAAATACACAGGACAGGGATAACAGGAACACACCTCAACATAATAAAAGCAATATACAGCAGGCCAACAGCCAATATCAAATTAAATGGAGAGAAACTCAATGCAATTCCTCTAAAATCAGGGACAAGACAAGGCTGTCCACTCTCTCCATACCTCCTCAATATTGGCCTTGAAATTCTAGCTAGAGCAATAAGACAACAAAAGGAGATCAAGCGGATACAAATCAGAAAGGAAGAAGTCAAACTTTCACTGTTTGCAGATGATATGATAGTCTACATAAGTGACCCAAAAAACTACCAGGGAACTCCTACAGCTGATAAACACCTTCAGCAAAGTAGCAGGATACAAGATTAACTCAAAAAAATCTGTAGCCCTACTATATATCGATGACACATTGGTGGAAAAAGAAATCAGAGAAACAGCCTTTACAATTGCCACAAACAACATAAAATACCTTGGAATAACACTAGCCAAAAACGTGAAAGACCTGTACCATAAAAATTTTGACTATCTAAAGAAAGAAATTAAAGAAGATACCAGAAAATGGAAAGATCTCCCATGCTCTTGGATAGGTAGGATCAACATAATAAAAATGGCAATCTTGCCAAAAGAAATCTACAGATTCAATGCAATCCTCATCAAAATCCCAATACAGTTCTTGACAGAACTTGAAAGAACAATACTCAATTTTATATGGAAAAACAAAAAACCCAGGATAGCCAATACAACCCTGTCCAATAAAGGAACTTCCAGAGGCATCACTATCCCTAACTTCAAGCTCTGTTATAGAGCCATAGTCTTGAAAACAACTTGGTATTGGCACAAATATAGACAGAGAGACCAATGGAATCGAATTGAAAATCCTGACATTAACCCACACACCTATGAACACCTGATTTTTGACAAACAATCCAAATTTATA